ACTATGGGGTACAGTTTCCTAGGGTTTCCTACTTGTACCCAACTTTCTGCTAGTTCATTCCATTCCTCAATTCTCACAACGGGTCCGCGAGGGGTGGCGACGGGGCCGCTAAGGGTCGCGCGAGGGGCACGCCATGGGGCGTGAAGCACACAGAGTAGCAGCGGAAGCAGTTAGGTGGGCCCACAGGCCAGGAGTGTCGATGCTCTGATAGCATGTGAAGAATGAAGAATCAGAAGGGAGGGTTTGTACTAGCAGTAGTTGGCATACATATAGGAAACCCTAGTTGGGTTGTAGTCGCTATATAGTACCCCACTACAGGCTAGACAATAATAACATTCTCATAAGAAACCCCAAGTTGGGCTGTACTCGCTATAGAGTACCCCACTGCAGGCTAGACAAATATAGCATTCTGACACATCCCCATAGCCAAAGTGGGGTGTAATCAGCACAAGAAGCATGCATAGCAATAGTTCACAATGAAAAGCAAAGCTAGTGTCTATCACGGAGGGCAAGTGAGGAGGAGGAGAGACTGTGGGGGCGAGGAGATGGGAGGCGACTGCTGAAGCTGCAGACACACAGGAGCTGCTGGCTTAGTGGCTACCGAAGCAAAGGCCCGGACTACAGGTGTAACTGGCTCCACGGAGATTGTAGCCTCCTTACTGGAGCAACTGACCCATAGGCGACTGGCGACTACCGGAGATTGTAGCCTCCAAACTACAGGCACTGCTGACGACGCGACGGCTGCCTCCACTCAACCTCCCCCAGCTGCCCTACGCCCCTATCACACACCCCCTGCTGCACCCCTAGCTCCACTCCCACGTCACCCCCCTAGCACCACTCCTTCGGCTCCCACACACCCACCCCCTTGAGCGGCAGCTGCAGCAGTGGGAGACTGAGGAGGAGGAGGAATAGGGGATGGCGCACACAACCGGCACCCCCACAACCGCCACCCCCACACTCCCCACCCCCTAACCCTAAAACGGGTGGCACGGGGTAGGAGCGCAGGGGACGGCGAGGAAGACGGCGCGCGGCCCCCAGGGTGCCACCACGGGGCAGCGAGGGGCCGCGCGCGGCTCCCCTGGGCGCCGCGACGAGGCAGAGGGGGGGTCGCGCACGGTTCCAGGGGTGGCGCGTGGGTCCCCGGGGGCGACGCGAGGGTCGACGGGGCTGGCGCGCGGGTCCCTTGAGGCGACGCAAGGGTCGACGGGGTGCGGCGCGCAGGTCCAGCGCGGCCGGCGCACTAGGAAGAAAAGGGGCCGCGCGCCCCGGGGCCCGCGCCAGAGAGTAAACCGCAGCGCGCCTACGTCGCACGCCACGGGGCGTACGACAGATGGAGTAGTAGCGGAAGCAGGTTGGTGGGCCCATAGGCCAAGGAAGGACAAGCTCTGATAGCATGTGAAATAATGAGCAGAAAGTTTAGAAGCAGAAAGTGGAGTTGCACTAGCAAGCAGTTGAGTACATATAGGAAACATTAAGTTGGGTTGTTCTCGCTATTGAGTACCCCACTGCAGGCTAGACAAATACAGCATTCTGACAACAGCCACACCTCAACCTACGACAAATTCGCTGGCTCGATTTTCTCGAGTCCAACTTTCACTACACGGTCACTTACAAAAAAGGAGCCTCGAACATCGCCGATGCACTGACCCACCCCACTGCCCAGATCCACGCAATACTACTCGCCCAGACAAGCCCACTACTGACAGGCCTATTTACCCACGGGTACCAAACGGATCCATTCTTCATAGGAGGAAATTCGCAACAGTTCGCAGCAGCAAGGGGAGTCTATTACGTAAAAGTCGGGACTGACCGCATTTGGGTGCATGGGTATACACTGCTACAGGAATTACTGTTACAGGAGGCACGCGACGGAGTTACCTCGGGGCATTTCGGAGTAGAAAAGACACGGCACCAACTGCAGCGGTATCATTACTGGCCCAAAATGTTGACTGACATACAGCGACACGTGGCATCGTGTCCCACTTGCCAGCTCATGAAGTCATCAAGGCAGCGGCCGGCATGACAGTTGCAGCCAATACCACCCCCAGAGTGTGCTTGGCAGCTAGTGACGATGGATTTCGTCACGGGGTTACCAGCCGGGGCGAGTGGGAATGACGCGATCCTGGTCGTCGTCGATCGACTAACAAAAATGGCACATTTCGCAGCCTGCAAGAAATCGATCACAGCCGAAGAAACAGCCTGCCTCTTCATCGCCACCATCGTACGCCTGCACGAGATACGAGCAGCAATCATCAGCGACCGAGACACGAAATTCACCAGCAACTTCTGGCGAAACCTGTGGCAGCAGTTTGGCACGTGACTGCAGTCAGCTCTTCTTACCACCCCGAAACCGACGGACAGACAGAACTGACAAATCAGACTATGGAACAACTCATCCGAGCCACCTGCGACAACCCGACCACTTGGGAACAGCAGCTGCCACTCGTCAAGTTCGCGTACAACAATTTGCCTTCCGCCACGACCCAACAGTCACCGTTTTACTTGAACTACGGACAAGACCCAATAGTACCTATGACCCCTAATCACGACAACCCAGTCCCACGAGCACAACAGTTCGCCGAAATATTACAAGTAGCACGGACCCAGGCAGCAGACGCAACGCCGACCGCCACCGCTGACATGTCACTTACCAGCCCGACGACCTAGTTTTACTTGACACCTAGAACCTCCGCCTGCCCATCACCCCAAAATTCCGTCCCCGATACTGTGGACCATTTCGTATCAGCCACATGATCACACCCGTCACCGCCCACCTTCTCCTCCCCGCTGATTGGTACGTCAGCCCCTCGTTCCACGTCAGCCTGCTTCGCCCCTACGTCGTGTCCACAAGCCAACTCCCACAAAAACGCCCAGCCAGCGTGACACGACCGCCGACTGAACCAATCATCACCCCCGATAAAATTCTGAGTCACAGAGTTTGTGATCCTCGAGGAGCCCGAAGGATCGAGTTCCTGATCCGCTGGAAAGACCATACACCCACCGAAGACTGGGTTCCCCTGGATAGAATCGAAAACCACCCCATCGTCACCAAGTATCTGCGCAGCCGAAACTTTAGGGATGTACACGCACTTTCGTAAGGAGGACCTCCTTTAAGGGGGGGATAGTGTAAGGAAAAATCATTTTCCTTACTTCATGTCCCCGCTCAGCGCGTACATCATTGTAGCACCACAGTCAGCACCGTTACCACTCGCAACTCTCGCATCGACAATCCTCCCGCCACCTTCGCACGTCGCACCCCGACATCACGGCTCGGCGGGTAACCCGCGCTCCGGGCCTCCGCTTCGACACTTTTTCCAACCTCAGTCCCAGGCCCGTCACGCGACAACCACAGTCCATTACCGTTACCACTGTAGTTTCGCTATATATTCTTCGCTCATGCCTTCGCTCATTTGTACTTTTGCTTCGATAGTGCAATTCTCTCTCGCTCGCTCAAATTGCACTTGGTAAATCGTTGGAGGTTAGCTGCAGAGTCGGTTTATTGTATAGTGCCCAACCAAGTTCTAAGACAGACGGCCTTGTTTTTAATGAGGTTGCCTTTAACGAGAGTCTCTCGTGCAGTGATCGCGTTTGTTCACAAGCTAGCCGAGAACTAGCAGCCAGTAGGGGAACTGAAGACTGACCAGAGCTGACTTACAGCCAGAAGAACCAGTCTCGAGGGCCTGAGAGAGAAACAAATAAGGGACTGCGGTGCGGCACGCATTGGATCCGAGGACGACTCTCACACAAGCTGACAAGTTTCCTGCCAAAGCGTCTGATTTTTTATGCACTCGTTAAACAGTGCCGTTTACTTCGTCAGCTCCCCAGCAAAATCCGTGTCAGTATCTGCGGCCGCAAGTAGGATTAGTACTTCGCGAATTATTCATCTCTAGAGCCGAAAAATTCGCACCGAGCCCCAGTCAGGATTAGCGGAGCATATGCTGAACACTGATCGCCAATATTCGCTCGTCACCCACTCCAGCGGCACCTGAGCTGCCTTGGGAATACCAGAACGGTCAGAACGGCCAGTTGATCTTTGGTAGACATGTGACCAACTCGATTCGGGCAACGCTGACGTGACCTGACAGAATCCGACGTCATCGGACGTGGTACTGACGTGGTCTGGCGGGTGCTGACGTCGTTTGACCCAGGACGAGCTTTATACTGACAGGAGATTGCGAGCGATGGATCCCGTTGTCATGGATTGCGGGTCAGGCACGTTCAAGGCTGGCTACGCCAACCCCGATGCGGACCCCCCTGTGGTGAGTACCTGCTGCATCTTGAGGGGCATGATTTGACTGGAGATAGAGAACAATGGATTTCGATCATCCCGTTGCCATGGATTGCGGGTCAGGCACGCTCAAGGCTGGCTACGCCAACCCCGACGCATGGAAAATAAAAAATCACAGGTGTCGACAATTTTGATGCCAATCCTCCTGTGGTGAGTGCGTCTTGAGGATTGAGGCCGGAGCTAGTGGCTCGAATGGGCATGGATTTCGAGTTTGGCACGTTTCAAGGGCTGCCTACGCTACGCAACCCTGACGTTGACCCCCCTGTGGTGAGCGTGAGCGCATCTTGAGGATTGCAGTCGAAACGAATGGCTCGAATGGGCTGGCTGGGCATGATTTGCGGGTCACGTCACACGCGTTCAAGGGCTGCCTACGCTACGTCAACTCTGACATGACACCGATCCCCCTGCTGTGGTGAGTGCAGCATCTTGGTACATGATTTCAATCCAGAAAGGTTCTGACTTGCCAACCCTAATGTCGAACCCCTTGTGGTGAGTGCACCTTGAGAGTTGAAACTGAACAATTTGAATTGCAATGCAACTCAGCAGGGTTGATGGTAATTGTGGGTCAGGGACGTGCCTTTCAGGCTGGATGGGTTAATTCTAAAAGCTCTCTTGTGTGTCTTTATGAACCTCTATGTGCCTTTGTATGCCTCTGTATGCCTCTCTATGCTTCTGTGCGCCCTTGTATGCCTCTGCGTATCTCTATCTATCTATGCTTCAGATAATCCCAAATCGCTTCGTGGAAGCACCAGGAGAGCGCCCAGCCAGTAACGGGGCCAGCATTAACGAATCCGGGGCAGCAGCAGGGCGCGTGGTGGGGGGCGTGGAGCGAGGGCGGGTAGTAGACTGGGGGGTGATGGAGGATGCATGGCGATACATGCTGTACGAACAGATGGGGTGGGAGGAGGGCGGTGAAGGGGCCGTGCTGCTGTGCGAGCCCATTCTTACCCCAAGAGTGAGTTTTGCTTGTGTATGGGATATTGTAACATTAGGGTTAGCACATTCGAGGCACTGGCAGGGTTGTGGGTAGGTGGGGGGGTGGAGCTAGGGTGTGTGAGGGGGGGTTGGAGCGAAGGCGAGTGGTGGTGGGCGCGGAGCAAGGGAGGGTAGTGGGTGGGTGGCGTGAGGGGATGGAATGGAACGTTGCGAGTGGTGGTGGGTGGGCGTGGAGCAGGGGCGGGTGGTGGAGTGGGGGGTGATGGAGGATGCATGGCGATGCATGCTGTACGAACAGATGGGGTGGGAGGAGGGCGGTGAAGGGGCCGTGCTGCTGCGCGGGCCCTTTCTCACTTTCGGAGTGATTCATTCTTTTGTGTGGGGTTGACTTTTGAGTCGACTCAAAAGTCAACTCGTGTTGCTCTCTCAGCCCATTCTCACTCCCGGAGTGAATCGCTCTTGTGTGTGGGATATAGTTCTCAGGCATCTCGAAACGCATTCCAAGAGGCGTCTCGCCTCACCACTCGCCTTTCTCACAACAAGGGCGGGTCACACTTCCGAGTGAGATGTTTTCCCCTTCAGCTGCCTCAAAAGTCCCTCTTTTCGCTCCGTTGTCCTTCCTCCTCCATCTCTTTCTCTCCCCCCCTCTCCTCTCCTCTCTCCCGCTTGGCCGTTCCCCTCCTCCTTCCCCCTACTTGTGTCTCTCGTCCTGTCCCACATCATTCTCACATATACTTCCTCCCTCCCATTCTCGCCTGCATCAGGCCGACAGGGAGCAAGCAGCAGCACACGCCCATTCTCTTTTAAGGCTTCTTTGCAGAGCCATCCTCCTCCCGAGGTGACTTTTGAGTCGAGCAAGCAGAGCAAAAGTCACCTTCTTTGCAGAGCCATCCTCCTCCCGAGGTGACTTTTGAGTCGAGCAAGCAGAGCAAAAGTCACCTTCTTTGCAGAGCCATCCTCCTCCCGAGGTGACTTTTGAGTCGAGCAAGCAGAGCAAAAGTCACCTTCTTTGCAGAGCCATCCTCCTCCCGAGGTGACTTTTGAGTCGAGCAAGCAGAGCAAAAGTCACCTTCTTTGCAGAGCCATCCTCCTCCCGTTCCTTTCCCGCTCCTTTCCAACCGCTTTTCATTCTCTCCTTCCAGGCGGACGGGGAGCAAGCAGTGCAGCGCAGATCCTTTTTGAGTTGTTCAGCTGGTCGGGCCTCTTTACAGCAGAGCAGAGCAGCCATCGATTTTCCCCAGTCCCCTTCCTCCGCACCCTTCTCTCCCATTTTCTCTCACTCCCTCTCCTGTCAGGCGGACAGGGAGCAAGCAGCGCAGGTCCTCTTTGAGTCCTTCAGCTGTTCGGGTTTCTTCGCAGCGGAGCAGCCAGTGCTGGCACTCTATGCGCTCGGCCGCCTCTCCGGCTGCTGTGTGGACCTAGGCCATGGCAAAACAGGTCAGAGGAGATAAATTTTAAGTGGCGATTGGCCTTGTAATGGTGATGACTGACTTAAAACGAGTTTCTTTGCAAAGGAGCAGCCAGTGCTGGCGCTCTATGCCCTCGGCCGCCTCTCCGGCTGCTGTGTCGACCTGGGCCATGGCAAGACAGGTCAGCAGGGATGCGGGGATGCCTTATAACGTAGATCACTTCCGTAGGGCCGTCTATGCCCTTGGGCGCCCCTCAGGCTGCTGCGCGAGGAGCCCTCCTATGCCATGGGCGAACAGGTCAGAGGAGACGCCTTATAACGGGGAAGATTGACCTTATAACGGGGGTGACTGACTTTAAAGAGGTTGTTGGTACAGCAGAGCAGCCAGTGCTGGCGCTCTATGCTCTCGGCCGCCTCTCAGGCTGCTGTGTCGACCTGGGCCAGGGAAAAACATGTCAGAGGGGGATGATGCAGGGCCTTATAACGGGGATGAATGCCTTGTGACGAGATCACTGCGTTGTAACGCTTCAAAATTGGGAATTTCCTCCTCGTTTTTCTCCCTTCTTGCTTCTCTTTTTTTTCCTTCCTTTCTTAGCCTCACCGTTCTCTTTCCCTTTCCACACTACGCTTTATCGGATTCTTTTTCCTGTTCCCCCCCCTTCTTGTTCCATGCTTTCATTTTCTCCCACCTCTCCAGATTTCTCTGTCGTGCAGGAAGGGGCGTTGATCCCGTCCTCTGCTCGCCGTTGGCCAGTTGGCGGCTGCGATCTTTCGGAGCGAATCCAACGGCTAGTATTTGACGAGAGGCAGAGTGGGGGGGGAGCTGGCCAAGGAGGGGAAGTGGAGAGGGATACACTGACACGTGGCAGTCTCTCATTGGATGCTGCAACGTTGGAAAGGCTGAAGGAGGAAGCTTGTGAGGTGGCTTTGGACGAGAAAAGTTTTGCAGCTGCCCGGGCTGCGGACGAGAGGAAGGAATTTGTGCTGCCCGATGGGCAGGTCAGTTCATCTTATTTGTGGACAGGGCTATGTTCTTTTTGGAGCGAAGTTTAAGCATTGGAGAAACTCTTACTGAACTTCCTGGTGTTACTGAAGTCCAACCCCCCACCCATCCTCCCACCCATCCTCCCACCCATCCTCCCACCCATCCCCCCACCCATCCTCCCACCCATCCTACAACCCATCCCTCCTCACACCTCACCTCTCATCCACTCGCCTCGCTCACTCTGATCCCTCCCGTATTTATCCCCTCCCGTATTTTTCCCCTCCTTACATCTTGGCCCCTCTCTTCCCCCTCAGTCCCCCTCTGCTCCGCCTCGTGGGCCCCTCTTTGCCCCCCATTCAGCACATCCTCCTTTGCAGTAAAAGACTGAGTACTGCAATGGTTCTCATCCACACAGTTACCCCATTCCGCCCATGGACTTCTCATATTCCCACCCCTCCCGTTCCCCATTGCAGCGCATCTCTCTCGGCAGTGAACGATTCGAAGTTGCAGAGGCTCTCTTCCGACCCTCCCTCCTCACCCACAACTCGCTTCTTTGACTCGCCACATGCCGTTCATTCTTGGCCCCCTTCTTCTCAACCTCCCCTTCCATTGCAGCGCATCTCTCTCGGCAGTGAACAACTTGAGGTTGCAGAGGCCCTCTTCAGACCCTCCCTCCTCGCCCACAACTCGCTTCTTTGACTCGCCACATGCCGTTCATTCTTGGCCCCCTTCTTCTCAACCTCCCCTCCCATTGCAGCGCATCTCTCTCGGCAGTGAACGACTTGAGGTTGCAGAGGCCCTCTTCAGACCCTCCCTCCTCGCCCACAACTCACTTCTCTCACCGCCCTCCCTCGAGGCCTCCCCATTGGCCGGTCCCGACTCGGCTGGCATCGTTCGGCAGCTTCTGAGTGTGGTGTTCGATGCAGCAGGGCTAGGAGGGGGAGGCGGAGGAGGAGGGGTAGGGGGAGGGATGGGGGGTGTGGGCGGGGGAGGAGGGCTCGGGGGAGGAGGGATGGGGGTGGAAGGGGGAAAGCAGCGGGCAGCCTTGGAGTCCATTGCGGTGGTGGGGGGAGGGTCGTGCCTCAAGGGGTTGGTGGATCGGTTTCAGAGTGACGTGCAGACGGCAGTGTCTCCCTCCCTGCAACCCACCGTCGTGCGGGTGAGTGGGGTGAGAGGGGTTAGTGGGATGAGCAGCTGGGCGGTTGGGCGGTTGTGCAGTGGGGTGAGGGGAGGGTGAGGTGAGGGTGAGGGGAGGGTGAGGGGAGGGTGAGGGGCTTTGAGTGGGTGGGGGCGTGGGTTGTGTGAGTGGTTTGGTGAGTGGGTGGTGAGTGGTTGGGAGTGGGTGGTTGAGTTGAGTGAGAATTGAGTGGGTTTTAGTGGGGTATGGAGAGGTAATATCTATCTGCATTGTGAAGTGCATGAAGGCACTGTCTCAACTGGTTTGTAAAGGAAGGTGTGTGGGGGTGACTTTTGAGTCAACTCAAAAGGCACCTTGTGCGACAGATCGGTGCAGCACATGTGTTTGTCACCACAGGAGCCATCATCTATATAACCTTTCATGGAAACCACGTGTCAGTCCAGCTTCGGTTCTCAACTTTATCAGCTCTCCTACTTCTTCTCAACTTCTTTCTTTTCTCGGGATTATAATTTTGTCCCGCTGTAACTCTTTGGCACTCGAAACTTTCTTCTCACAACCTCTTCCCCCTACGTTAACCTGAACCTTTAGGCACCTGACTACATGCCGGACAACACCGCCCGCTACGCCTCGTGGTACGGAGGGGCCATAGTGGCGCGCATTGTGTTCTCTCAGAATCAGCACGTCACTCGCGCTGAGTACAACGAGAGGGGCCCTGCTGCTGTGCACCGCAAGAGCATGTAGTGAGTCTGCGAGTCGACTAGAAAGCCTCATGGTATGGAGGGGCCATAGTGGTGCGCATTGTGTTCTCGCAGAACCAGCATCTCACTCGCGCAGAGTACAATGAGAGGGGGCCTGCTGCTGTGCACCGCAAGAGCATGTGATTGTGCTGATGTGGCTGTAAATGATTTGCTATGCTTTGTGGTACGAAGGGGCCATAGTGACTCGCATTGTCTTCTCTCAGAATCAGCATGTTAAATGGGTTGAATTCAATGAGAGGGGGCATTCCGCTGTGCACCGCAAAAGCATATGATTGTATCATTGTGCTGAGGTGATAGTATGGTAAATGACCTGCGCACCGCAAAAGATGAAATAGTAAATGATTTCTGTACCGTGTAAAGGCGTGCGATCATGCTTTTGTGTTGGTAACAAATCCCCCACTGCAAAAGCATGTGGATGTGCATAGTAGTAGGTTGTTTTTCTCGCATTAATCCTGCATTTCGTTATGGTCATTCATTTCTCAAAGCGGGGCAGTCTCCAGCGGAGATGGAGCGGACCCATCCTCCTACTAACCCGTTGTATGCACCCCTCGTTACAAGGTAGCGTACACGATTAGAGGCCATGAATTTCTTCTCCACAAGGGGCCATGTTGTCGAGAGCTCGAAATTCACGAACCCTACCTAACCGTATCATACCGTAAATAACAGGCTCTGTCAGACAGAGCATCGTACCCAACCGCGTTCGGGCGACGCCTCGTAGAGTCTTGGAAGCAACTCGTGACAAGTTCAAGCAGCACACACCGCCGCTAGTCTGTAGGGTGAGAGAGGTTGGTCTGGTCTCCCAGTATTCCGAGCAGTTTCTGCTCAACTAAAAACAGTATGCAAGATCAAACTTGTGTTTCGACACGGCGCGATGCAATGCCGCCATATTGTTAACTAGGCGAAGTATCGCGATTCGAAGCATTCCCTCTAGGTTTATCCGGCGGCGAACACGGATCTCCCTTGTTTCTCTTCCGAAGCCTGGAAAGAGGCTCAGAAAGAAGCGCCGGAGGTTCGGCAGACACGCGAGGTTCCGCCAAACCCCGTCTGATAACGAGCCTGCAGCGCAGGCTCGGCGTAAGTGCCACAGGATGTCCGAAGCTGATAGGATAAATCCAACAAATGCCACCTCTCCCGCAATAGCGTCCCTCCGATCAGATTGTAATGCCGCCTCGATAATCAATCTCAAGGAGATGTCGGCAGATCTACCTCCCTTAGATCCCACCTCAATCCGCGGTTCTGGTCGCGTCGCGAATGCTTCCGCAACTGACGCCGCCGCAAACGCCTCCGCAGACGCAACGAGCCCCGCGACCGACGCCGCCGCCAGTGGCGACGCAGATGGTGCCGCAATCGGCGGCGCCACAGCATCGGAAGGTCCTATCATGGAGCCTGATTCGGACGAGCGCGTGTGGCGCAAGGTGCCGTTGGCGCAAGGAGACTCGGACCCCCATGTGTGGCGCAAGGTGCTGTACCTGCGGCAGCCGTTCGACGACACGCACACGGACCCGCGCACCTTCCTCGCCGACATGCGCACCAACGCCGGCGTCGTCAAGCCGCGCTACTGGTCGCTCGTACGGGACTCCTCCGTGCTCACGCTGCAGGTACGCCTCTCTCTCCGCTCCAGGTACACCATCCCCCTTCCCCCCTTCCCCCCTTCCCACTTTCCCCCCTTCCCCGCTTCCCCCCTTCCCCTCCCCCTCCCCCTCCCCCTCCCCCTCCCCCTCCCCCTCCCCCTCCCATCTCACTCCCCTTACCCCTTACCCCCTTCCCCGTTCCCCCTCCCCCTATTCCTGCGCTCACTTCCTCTCCCTCACGATCGGACGTGTGTTCCACACCACACTTCCTTCCACCCCTTCCTTTCCCCTCGCTCCCACTCTCACATGTTCCTCCTTCCGCCCTGCTCGTCGTCTCTCTCGTCCGTTGCATCCCCTCCCACCCCTCTGTCCCCAAATATTCCTCATCTGCGCCCCTACCCTACGCTGTGCCCCAGTGCCCATGTAGCTTTCAGAACTCTCACCGCCGCAAGTAGCTTTCAGAACTCTCACCGCCTCTCTAACCCGTGCTATTGTCCGCACGGGGACATGTTTCCTCATGCTGTTTCCGTTCGCCATGGTCTGGTCTAGTTTTGAGTCGACTCAAAACTTTCCTCGTGCTGTTTCCGTTCCCCATGGTCTGCTCTCCTCCCAGTTTTCTGTTTCTGTTGTCCTCCCATGTTCCTCCCTCCTCTCCGCCCTGGTCGCCGATCCTGGTCGCCGATCCTGGTCGCCGATCCTGGTCGCCGATCCTGGTCGCCGATCCTGGTGGCCGCCACCCAAGCCGCCACCCAAGCATGTCTACCCCTTCTTTGACTCGCACCACCTCTCCGCCCGTGCTGTTTTCCTCTCCGCCCGTGCTGTTTTCCTCTCCGCCCGTGCTGTTTTCCTCTCCGCCCGTGCTGTTTTCCTCTCCGCCCGTGCTGTTTTCCTCTCCGCCCGTGCTGTTTTCCTCTCCGCCCGTGCTGTTTTCCTCTCCGCCCGTGCTGTTTTCCTCTCCGCCCGTGCTGTTTTCCTCTCCGCCCGTGCTGTTTTCCTCTCCGCCCGTGCTGTTTTCCTCTCTCGCCCGTGCTGTTTTCCTCTCCGCCCGTGCTGTTTTCCTCTCCGCCCGTGCTGTTTTCCTCTCCGCCCGTGCTGTTTTCCTCTCCGCCCGTGCTGTTTTCCTCCTCATCCACCTCACGTATCACACATGTTCATATGCCCCCCAATCCCCCCTTCCCATATGTTTCTCATCTCCGCCCTGGTGGGTCGTAAGTTTTCTTCCCTTCCTTTGACCAGCAACATCGCTCACATATTCGCTTGTTACCCCTCTCCCCCACCCCCTGTCCCCAGATGCTCCTCGTCTCCGCCCTCACGGTCGTCTATGTCTTCCTCGACTCGCATTGCCTCTCCACTCGGACGCTCTTCCTGCTCGATTCACTCGCACATTACACATACCCACTGTCTTCCACCCACACCACCCCCCCTCCTTTCTCGCCTCCCGCCTCCATCCGATTCCCAGACGTTCCTCGTATCAGCCCTAGTCGTCGTCTATTTCTTCCTCGACTTGCATCGCCTCTCCACTCGGACGCTCTTCCTGCGCGATTCACTCTCACATTACACATACCCACTGCCCTCCACCCACACCACCCCCCCTCCTTTCTCGCCTCCCGCCTCCATCCAATTCCCAGATGTTCCTAGTATCCGCTCTGGTGGTCGTCTATTTCTTCCTCGACTCGCACCGTCTCTCTGCCCGCACTCTCTTCCTGCTCGACTCGCTCTCCCTCGCTGCCGGTGTGCTGCTCTCCTCCCTCGCCTCCCTGCACCTGCAGCGCCACACACCAAGGGGAAATGGTCTTCCCATTCTCACATGCTCCTCCCATTTCCCGCCCATCCCTCCTCCCATTTTCAGATGTTCCTCGTATCTGCCCTGATGGTCGTCTATTTCTTCCTGGATTCCCACCGCCTCTCCGCCCGCACTCTCTTCCTGCTCGACTCGCTCTCCCTCGCTGCCGGTGTGCTGCTCTCCTCCCTCGCCTCCCTGCGCTTACAGCGACACAAACGCCTGCGGCAGCACTTGAAGGGGGAGCAGATGAAGCAGCAGCAGCAGCTGAAAGGAGGAATGTTCCCCCCATTCTCACCTGTTCCTCCCATTTCCCTCCCCATTCCTCTCATCCCCAGATGTTCCTCGTATCAGCCCTGCTGGTCGTCTATTTCTTCCTCGACTCGCATCGCCTCTCCGCCCTCGTTCTCTTACCCTGTTCCATTCCACCTCACATAGTGCACATGTTTGTGCCCTCTCCTGCTCCCTCTGTTTCCAGATGTTCCTAGTACCAGCCCTGGTGGTCGTCTATTTCTTCCTCGAATCACACCGTCTCTCCGCCCGAACGCTCTTCCGCCCAGTCCATCACTCACACATGATGCATGCTCTGCACCCCTCCTCCCGTCCCATCTCAGATGTTCCTAGTATCCGCCCTGGTGGTCGTCTATTTCTTCCTCGACTCGCATCGTCTCTCTGCCCGCACGCTCTTCCCGCTCGACTAGCTCTCCCATCACACATACCCTCTACCCCCCCCCCCCCCCGCCCCCCCTCCCACCTCCTTTTCCCTCTCCCTCCTCCCTCCCATTCTCAGATGTTCCTCGTATCAGCCCTGGTGGTCGTCTATTTCTTCCTCGACTCGCACCGCCTCTCTGCCCGCACTCTCTTCCTGCTCGACTCGCTCTCCCTCGCTGCCGGTGTGCTGCTCTCCTCCCTCGCCTCCCTTCGCTTACAGCGACACAAACGCCTGCAGCACCACTTGAAGGGGCAGCAGCAACAGCAGCAGCAGCAACCGCACGCATCTGCACCACAGTCCACCCCTCCTCCCTCCTCCACTCCCCCTTCCCCATCCCTGTCCCTCCCACCTCCCACCCTCCTCGATCTCCTCTCTGCCTCTCGCCTCCCTCGCTTGATCGTCGATTGTTCCATCTTTGTTTTTGGTCTCTACCTCCTCTCCCCCATCCTCCACACTCTCACTCAGTCTATAAGCTCTGACACTGTTGCCTCCTGTACCACCCTGCTCTTCCTCCTACACCTCTTCTTCCACGATTATAACTACTCTACAGCAGCTACACTCTCCTTTTCCGGGAATTTATCGTTAATGTCTGCGATTTACGCATCTGTGCTGCTGGCTTCTCGGCTTAGCACCACTGCGCAAGTATACGCGTTCATGTGGCTGGCACTTAGCGTTTTCAGCCTGCTGCCGTCGTTGCTGCACCACTGGCGGCGCGCTAATCCGCAAACGCACCGCGTGCTTGTATGGGGGATGAAAGCGGTGGCTCTGGCGGTGCTGATGGCGTGGCATAAGGGGTTTGCCGTGGTGGTGGTGGTGGCGGCGGCAGCGGTAACCTACGTGTTCCCGCTTCTCTTTGTGTACATGCACAAGGAAAAGCAGTTCATCAAGGGACCCTGGGATGAAGCCCAACCAGGGACCAGCAGCAGTTGAAAGAGGCATCAACCTTCCTCGGTTCTGCTCTTTGTGTACATGCACAAGGAAAAGCAGTTCATCAAGGGACCCTGGGATGAAGCGCAACCAGGGACAAGCAGCAGCTGATAGAGGCATTAGTCTTCCTTGGTTCTCTTTGTGTACATGCACAAGGAGAAGCAGTTTATTAAAGGACTGTGGGATGAAGCCCCACCAGGGACCAGCAGCAATTGACAGAGGGATCGTTTCATGGAAAAAGCTGCAGCAGCTGAGGTTCTTAACAGGCAGCATAGCTTCATTCGTAGGTGCTTCTCTTTGTGTACATGCACAAGGAGAAGCAGTTTATCGAAGGACCGTGGGATGAAGCCCAGCCGGGGACCAGCAGCAGTTGATGGAGGCACTGTTGCATGGAAGCAGCACATTTTGTAGGAACGGCGGGAACAAGCAACAGTACTTCCTAGCTTGTCTAAGGTCATCGCTTTTGTGTGAATGGCGTTTACTCGTGTTCTGGTTGCTTGTGTGCCACTTACACGTGTGCCAAAGGGAATTTTGAATGTGGACTGTTGTGTGAGAGTAGCGGTATCCCCACCCGCACTACCCACATCCCCGATCTGTGAGGCATCTAATTGTGAGCCGCCTTTGCGAGGTCTTGAAATCATATCCTTAAATCCACGGCACCACCTTCAGCTCCCCCTGAATCACACCTGCCCCTATGCCCTCATGCCCACATGTCGCATGCCCCCATACCCCCATGCGCTCATGCCCCCATAAAATAAATGCAAAACACACACACACACACTCCCCACTCACCATGATTCTCTTCTTGTCGCCTCGCGCACTCCTCTCCACCGCTCTCAACACCCGCTGCCGCACATAGCTTGCAATGGGGAAGAGCAGCGGTCCATCCACCCTCACCACCCACACCCCCTCCACTTCTGCTTCGGGATACTGCTCCACACTTCCGTACACCCCTGTACCCGTAATGAGCCCCAGGGTCGGCAGCTCTGGGCGAGCAACCTGCACAAAGAACTTCAGCATTGAAACGAGGACGCCTATAAGGAGTCCGATTTCCATGGAGACAAAGAGAATACCCAAGGCGGTTCCTAGAGTGATGAGAAAATCAACTTTGTCGGTTTTAAGGATGAGAGCCATGGCTGTAAAATCCACCAATCCAGCGACAGCAACGATGATGATTGCAGAGAGGGTGGCTGTAGGGAGGTACTGAAACGCGGGCGTGACCGCAACGAGCGTGACTAAAACGAGCACCGACATAATCACGTTGGTCAGCGCAGTTTTCCCGCCGGAATTGTAGTTGACAGCGGACCGCGAGAACGACCCAGTAACCACGTAGGTCGAGGAGAAGGAGCCTCCGATATTCGCCATGCCGAGAGCGATCATCTCGCGGTTACCATCCACCTCGTAACCCTCCAAAGTCGCAAACATTCTAGCGATCACAGTCGCTTCCGCTAAAGCGATCAGCGCCGCGACAATCCCTATGGAAGCAGCAGCCGCGCAATCAGGGCCCGACAGCTGGAGCTGAGTCAGCGAGCCGAACGAGGAGACGCCAGCTGGCAGGGGCTTGACGGTGGGGATGTTGTAGGGGGGTTTGTTGCCGCCGCCCAGAAGGTAGACGGCGAGGGAGGTGGCGGTGATGGGCCGAGGCAGTTGAGGTAGAAGAGTGGCTTGCCGAGCCTGGGGTGGGGCTTGAAATGGTGTGCCTGCGCATGCATGTGTGGGGACGGGATGGATGGATTGGGAGTATTGAACATGGGAAGAGGGAGTTAAGGTGTTTTGGTGGGCAGTTGAGGTAGAAGATCGGCTTGACGAGCCTAGGGTGGGGCTTGAAATGGTGGGTCTGTGCATGCAGAAGCGAGGAGGAAAGTGGATGAGGGTATCACACACAGAGTGCGAGGAGGGAAAGGGATGGGAGTATTACACACAGAGGGCGAGGAGGGAAAGGGATGGGAGTATCATACACAGAGGGAAAGGAGGGAAAGGGATGGGAGTATCATACACAGAGGGCAAGGAGGGAAGGGGATGGGATGGAATGGGATGGGATGGGATGGGATAGGATGGGAATGTTGGAAGGCTGCTCAAATAAAAAAGGCGGGGCGTACCAGGAAGCGGAGCGAGAGGAGGAAGAGAAGCACCGCCATGCCAATGACAAATGCACGCCAGTCGAACTGTGCAAGGAGGAGAGGGAGGGAAAGGAATGGGAGCGGAGGGGAGGGGAGGGGAGGGGAGGGGAATGGAGGCACTTGTTATCCTAGCACCAGACTTGACAGACTCACCAAATATCCTAACTCACCAGGTGTGCCAGACTCACCAGGTGTGTTAGACTCACCAGGTGTGCCGGACTCACCAGGTGTGCCCGACTCACCAGGTGTGCCCGACTCACCAGGTGTGCCCGACTCACCAGGTGTGCCCGACTCACCAGGTGTGTTAGACTCACCAGGTGTGCCCGACTCACCAGGTGTGCCTGACTCACCAGGTGTGCCCGACTCACCAGGTGTGTTAGACTCACCTGGTGTGCCCAACTCACCAGGTGCGCCTGACTCACTAGGTGTGCCCGACTCACCAGGTGTGCCTGACTCACCAGGTGTGCCCGACTCACCAGGTGTGCCAGACTCACCAGGTGTGTAAGACTCACCAGGTGTGCCGGACTCACCAGGTGTGCCAGACTTACCAGGTGTGCCCGCCTCACCAGGTGTGCCAGACTCACCAGGTGTGTTAGACTCACCAGGTGTGTTAGACTCACCAGGTGTGCTGGACTCACCAGGTGTGCCCGACTCACCAGGTGTGCCGGACTCACCAGGTGTGCCCGACTCACCAGGTGTGCCCGACTCACCAGGTGTGTTAGACTCACCAGGTGTGCCAGACTCACCAGGTGTGCGGGACTCACCAGGTGTGCCGGACTCACCAAGTGCGCCTTACTCACCAGGTGTGCTGGACTCACTAGGTGTGCTAGACTCACTAGGTGTGCCAGACTCACTAGGTGTGCCAGACTCACTAGGTGTGCCAGACTCACTAGGTGTGCCAGACTCACTAGGTGTGCCAAACTCACTAGGTGTGCCAGACTCACCAGGTGTGTTAGACTCACCAGGTGTGCCAGACTCACCAGGTGTGTTAGACTCACCAGGTGTGTTAGACTCACCAGATACGTGTTGCTGAACACATAGCCCAACACCGACTGCACGTTCGCTTTCGTGGTGAACGTCGCATACCCCAGCAGCCCCTTAAGCTGCTGCAGGCCGATCGTCACCGCCGCTCCCCCCATGAACCCCACAACCACCGGGTGGCACAGCAGATCCACCACAAACCCCAGGCGCAGCAGCCCCATGGCCAGCTGAAACACCCCCGCGAAGAAGGTGGAAGTGAAGGCGAGGCGGAGGTACTGGGAGGGCTGGGACTCGGGGTTGTAATGGGTGGAGAGGAGCTCTCCCATGAGGAGCGAGACGATGGCGACTGGTGCTATGGCCATGTGGCGCGATGTGCCAAATATGGCGTAGACGGCCGGGGGAATGAAGCTGCCGTCTGGATTGAATTGGAAATGGGGGGAAGGGGAGAAGTGGGGAGGGGGGAGGGTGGGGGGTGGAGGGAGGGGGATGGAGATTTGTTAAAGCTAATTTCCAGAAAATGAGAGGAGGGGGGAAGGACACAGGGGCAGAAGAAGAAGAGAAAGAAAAACGGAAAAACAGGAGGATGAATTTGTCGCCTAGTAAAGGCTGGGAATTGGTGAAGAGAAAAGAGGATGCTTTGGAGATGGATAAGAGGGTTTGGGTTTGTGATTTCAGTTTACTTGATCGCAAGGGTGAAGAGTGCAGTGAGAAACGAAACTCGCCTCAGCAGCAGACAAATATGGGGAGGTTAGCGGCGGGGGAGAGCTTTTTTTGAGTCGACTCAAAAGCAAATATGGGGAGGTTAGGGGCAGGGGAGAGGATGAGGGAGTTACATACAGAGGCCGTTGATTGGAGGCACGTGGGCCAGTTGCGCATATCCCAAGTCCTGCAGAGAGGAGAGGAGGGATGGGGGAAGTGGTCAAGGAAAAATATTGATTGGAATTATCATAAGCAAGGGTGGTGACACATTAGTACTAAACTTGTACTAAGAGCCCCCCCGCCAATCTACAACCACCACATTTCTTCACAATTATGACTATCTGACCTAACGCTTAGCGTCTAAAGGGAACAGGTTAGCGGTTAGTGTCTGACAGGCCAAATGGTTAGCGCATGACCAAGCGGTTAGCGGTTAGGGTGACCTGCGAGATTCACAGTGTGTCTGACGACAGACAGTTAATGTGTGACCTGGGGGATGGCAAAGGGCGGGTAGCGTCTAACCAAGGGCCTAGCGGTGAGTGTGAGACATCGAGCGGTTAGCATGTGACCAGGGGGATGGCAAAGGGCGGGTGGTGTCTGACCTGGGTTATGGCGAGGCTAGTAAGGGCGAAGCGGGTTAGCGGTTAGCATCTGGCAGACCAAACAAGCAGCGCGTGGCCAAGCAGTTAGCAGTTAGCAGTTAGCCGTCAGCAGTTAGCAGTTAGCCGTTAGCCGTTAGCAATTAGCCGTTAGCAGTTAGCATATAGCGGTTAGCGGTATCTGACCTGGGGGATGGCGAGGCTGGTGATAGTAAAGCCGGCGACCACGTCACCCGGGAGCCACGTCAGCTTGTACTCCGACAGCCACTGCAGGATCGGGAACACGTGGAAGAGCGCGCGCCTGACGCACTCCAGATAAGATCCGCACCCTTCGCTCCGAAATCCACTAAAGGATCCGCTTCGCGATTCGCGCCGGGACTCGCGCGACGGGCCGCCATGGTGGTCTAATAAGTCGTCGATGTCTAGGAGCGACTTGATGGGAGCGACGGCGTCGACGAGCTCGTCTCTAAGGCTCGCAGGTGGGATGACGACTCGCTGATGAGACTCTTGGCGGTGCTGCGAATCTCGATGTTGCGGCTCTTCGAGTTCCAGGCTCTTGGCGTCATCCTTCGCCAGCGTTACAAATTCTGGCAAATTCTCGTGACGAATCGCTCCCATCTCGCAGCAACCACGGTGGCGGCTCCCCGATGCCTCATCCCCAACATGGTCATCCCCGTTAGAAGCCATACCACTGCGACAGGAGCAAGGCGTGACCGTACTACAGCGCGGAAAATGGCCTGGCCGACTGAGCTGTCACCAACTTCAAGTTTTACACAGAATAGAAGCTTGATTAACGCGTTCCAAAAACTGTCCTACCTATCATTAGCAAGTACGACGAAGTCCGTGGCATCGCAACACGTGACGAGATTAATATACACGGAGGTTCTGAGGCCACTGAAGCGAAGGCGACGCGAGGAGGGCGACGGAGCACTGGGCCCGGTACTGATGGAGGGAGAGGAGCGAGGGCACGGGCCGGAATGTGCGGAAGAGATGGGAAACAGCCGACGACGACACAGCGGCGACGATCCCCACGACGACCCGCTGCGCTTCTTTCGACGCGACAAAACCGCGAAATTTTATTTTTACGACAGCGGCCTGTTTGCAAACGATTGGACATGCGGTTTTTCCCTTCTCGCGTCGCCTCCGGTGGCTTTCGAGTGGACGAAAAAGGCTCACGAAGGTCAGGGTGATTTATGTGATTGCTGGTGGCCGTCGAAAAGGGTGCCTGGATGAAAAGTTTTAGGCATTATGAATCGCCTCGCAAGTAAATGAAGAAAAGCCCGAAGCCTTTTCCATGGCCGAAAGACAGCCCTGCCTTCCACTGCCGAAATGTATCTGTCGTTTCAGAGTCCTGAAACAACATACGCGTAGTACTTGCATTGCAAGAGTAACTACGACGACTCGAACACAACGACCCCTCGAGGAAAGACGACCCTTCGGAAATGCTGAGATGAGAGAATGGCGGTGCTCTGCAGGCACATCACGAGGGCGGGAGAAGGGTGGGAGAAGGGAAATGCCGATGTTGAGTGACTTTTCATGAATACGGAGGCTAGGTAGAAAGTGATACTTGTAGCGACACAAACACGCGGCACATCGGGTAAGGCCCAATAACAGCCCCAGAAATAAAGCGGGAAACAGACCGTGAACCACCCGATTTTCGGCACTTGGCAGATCGGTGGTGTAGCTGGTACGCCACCTCGGGAAATGCTTGAAAACAAACCGAAGAAAAAACTACCCAGACCTCTCCCCCCCCATCCCACCCGTTCCCCACACCTGCTTGTACACGTACCTCTTTTTCGTCTCCCCCCCTTCTCCCTTTTTCTCCCTTGTCCCTTTTTCTCATCTCCCCCCACTTTATCCAGATCTTTTACCCGCAGTTGTTTTCAGCTCAGGTCTCTCATTTCTCACAACCATTTTGCTTCTCGAATCTTGAGTTGGAAAGCCACCGTTGCATAGTAGCTACTCCGAACACTTGTCACAGTCTGGATTTTACTTTCGTATCTTCGTCATCTCCTCTAATCCAACAGGGCAGGCGCTATGCCAAGTGCCGTGCGAAACAGGGACGTGACACATTATTTACCATTCCGAGTCGCTTGTCTTTCTTCCTAGCATAAGTGGCTTCTTGGTCTTCCTCTCTTCATATCCTATCAACTTTCTCTATCACGTTTCTGAATCCCGTCTCCTTAGCTCAGCTCTCGTCCGCAACTATCCTCAGTCTCGCTTCAACTCGCGAAGGAGTTTTAACAGACCCAGCAGGAGCCAATGGAGACTCCCACAAACATAGATGCGCTTCCTGACGACATACTCGGTAGAATCTTGTTTTACTACGAGCAGTACGAGCATCCCGTGCCTAGAAAATCGGCCAGAGACGCTTTATGGGACTTGCTTTCCTTGTCTCCGTCTCCACAGTACCTTTCTGCACACCCTTCGAGTGAGAAGGCAAGGTGCCATGACAGGGAGACGCCGTTACCGAAGCTTCTCCCATCTGCGAACATCGACCGCATTCTTCAAATCTCCTCCCTCTGCCGCCGTTGGCGCCGACTTTCCCGCCACTACGTCAACGCGCTTCTTCTCGATAACGACAAACCTTCCGTTTCTAGCCAAACACTGGCGAACAGTTTCAATCTATTCCCAAAACTAACCCATCTCCATCTGAGCGACGGCCGCGTGAGCACTATAAATGACGCGTTCCTCTCTCGCCTCTCCTCGTCATGCCCACAGCTAAATATTCTTCACATCGGAACCTCAACGGTGGCGGCTGATGAAATTGGAGCGACGAAAGACGACTTCCCAGTCACAGACGCAGGCTTGGATCTGTTTTTCCAACGCTGCTCTCAGCTGGAGCAGCTCTCACTCTACTGCCTCCATCCAGACGTCGAATATCGCGCTTCCTTCTTGCAGCTAGCGCATCTGCACACTTTCCTTCTCCCCAACCTTTAAAACCCCTGAAGCTCCCGAGTTTGCAAACCTCACTTCGCTGACCCACCTTCACTTCCTCTCCAATGAAACGCCAACACATCAGCAACTGGCCAACCTTCCTCGCCTCCCAGGCATCACATCTCTTTCTGTCTCCGACAACATCAACTCTCTCCGTCGGTATGAGGACCCCCTTGATGACCTTTTTGAGATTCCTCCTGAGAACCCCCCTGAGGAACCTCCTAACTTCAATCTCGCGCAGCTGCCTCGTCTCAAATCGTTGAAATTCGATCACCGCTTGCCGTTGACAGCGCCCTGCACCAACATCCAACGGCTGGAAATCCACAGGATGGGTCGACTAGACTGGCTGCGCCTTTCGGGTGACTTTGGACACTTGCTGCCTTCTCTCCGTGACCTCACGTTTCACAGCACGCTAGATTATTCGATCGACTGCCCTGAGGTTTTCCTGCCTTGGACCCTCCCTTCCCTAGCTCTTTTAGAAAGCCTGACCATTTCCAACTGCTCTGGGCTTTCCAGGCTCCCCGAGGGATTCGGGAACTTGTGTGCCTTGCAGACGCTGGTGCTGCGGAACCTGTCTCTCTCAGACCTCCCTCATTCCATCGTTCAGCTTTCAGCCCTGAAAACACTCGTGCTGCACACTCTCTCTCCCGCCTCCCTGATTCCATCTGTCAATGTACCTCCCTGAAAACACTCGTTCTGTTTCACCAGCCACTCACTTTCCTCCCTGAATCCCTCAGTCAGCTCACCTCCCTAGAGACATTTATTTTGAAAGACTGCGGTTCCATCAGCAAACAGGAATCTTTCCAGCTGCCCGAATCTTTCTGCCGCCTCACTGCACTCCAGACCCTTTGCATCGCGCGCATGCCGCAACTGAGGCTCCCAGCGGATATCGGAAACCTCTTCAATCTGCAGACGGTTTTTCTGGACAGATTGCTGCAGCAGCTGCAGCTGCCGGAAATTTTCACCCGGCTGTCTTCCCTGACATGGCTTGAACTGAGCGGCTGCATGATTCAAGAGCTTCCTGAGACCCTCGGGAATCTGTCTAACCTGCAAGAATTGCGTGTCTATTTTTGCCCAGCCCTTCTGAAGCTTCCAGAGTCCCTAACAAGGCTGTCATGCCTTGAGAATCT